ACATCTACTAAGCAAGTTACTGTGGAGACTGAAGATATCAGAGCCATTTACAGTCCAGTGAAGGAAACAAACAGATACACAGATGACTACAATGCAACTGCTAGCGTTTTGAAGGGAACAAGGACAACACAACAGATTCCAACTGAAGTAATTCAGACTATGCTCCCTTTGGTCTGACAGAAGGAAGGGCAGTGCCCACCTTTCTGCTGTACCAGCCCTTGAAAGCAACAGTAAACACCACAAACTGTATCAGAGAAGGGGGGAAGGCTGTGTTCCTTTTGCTCAGCAAGATCTGGGCACTAAACCCTGATTCCCACCTTTAAAAATGTTTGCCAATATCTCCCTATTTTCATTCAGAGAACTGAAAACCAAGAAAGAAAACTAAAAATCACAAGGCTTTGAAGTTTTCTAAGTAAAGCCTTGGCAGTATGAGTTCACACAGAAGTGATCAGTCCTCCTCTGAGTCTGCGCCAGGGTGCACTTCCCCGCTCTGGACCAGGTGTACCTCCTAGTGGTACTCCAATCCTAGTGACCACCTTCAATCTACAGCCTGATGACCTTCTAAGAAGGGAGGAAAATGAGAACATTCTTAGGCAGTGGTATGCAGGGAATCAGTCTATTCCTGTAGTAACCATATCTTTTTGAACCGTGAATCAGAATGCATGGACACAACAGTTCAACAATGGGGTGGGATATTCTACTTAATTGCTGTCTTGGAACTGTAGGACATATGACTGTTAAAAAAAAATCCTCATAAATGCTTATTTATTTTTAATGCATGTAAAATATTTCATATACATTAAAAAATATTTATAAGATCTATGCAGTTTAAAACTTAATAAAAAGAACACCCATGCATGTGCCCAGCGTCTGCTCAAAAAATATATGTCATTGTATTATTAACAGCAACATTTAATATTTGCAAAGCAAATATTGTCAGGTGCTGGGCACCATTCTAAGCATTTTACTTATATAGTAAGTCCATGACTTATGAGCATTCAAGTTGCAAACTTTCACAGATATGAATAGACCTCACATTGCAAGCATTTATAGATGTGAATAAACCATGGTAGCAGCTCACATGTCTTCCTTACTATTTTCAGGTAACTGTAAAAGTAAAAATAGTTTATTTACAGTATTTTTGTAAGAGTTTGGGTTTTTAAAGCTTTACATTGCATATTTGTGTCAAAGGTGTATAAGACTCACTGTGTCAGACTTAAGAAAGAATTCAACTTAGGAATATTCTCCCAAACAGAACTCATTCATAAGTCAGGGACCTAGTGTATTACTGTATCTGATGAATCTTCACAATCTTTTGAGTTAGATATTCCTATCATCATTTTACAAATGGGAAGGCAAGTTTCAACTGATTAAGAAATTTGCCCCAGACACACGAATAAGAAGTGTTTGAGCGGGATTAGAAACCTAGACAATCAAACTCTAGAGCAATCCCCACACTGTCCAGAGGCCCTTCGTTGAACAGACACTGGGATGAATTCGGCACACAGTCAAATTTTACAACTCAAACCCAATTTCTCTGCCAACTTCTAGCGTTACAAAGAGGCTAAGTTTGCAAGCAGGATCAGGACTGAGCCAAGGGATGTTGAGGGAGAGGGCCGGAGAGTCAGAGGATGCTGACAAAGGAGGCCTTTTTCAGGCTCCATCTGTAGCTAACAGAAGAGGGAAAGTTGGAGAAGGGTAGGCAGATCCGTGACACATTCTTCCTTTCCTTTCACGTCAGAGCCACTATCATGCTCTCCTGAACCTACTTGAAAGCTGAAGCAATTGTTCAGCGATTACATCCTCTTCCCAGTGAAATGGAAGGCTCACTGTTTAATAGTTTAAAGCCCATGAAAGTCATCCCAGAACATTTACTACCTAACCTTCCACTGTTCAGTTGTCCACATGTCCTTCCCTTTATACACGGTGAAAGCATCCAGTTATTCTCCACTGAAATGAACCCCAGGAAAAACCTAAACATGCTACCAGCTCTGGGTTCCTGAGAAAAAAACTCTCTAGGTGTCATCTGTTCTTAATTTCTAGCTTTTAATTAACCATACACGAGGTGTCTCACATGTGGATGACAACGGCAGCCATCCATGAACCCTCATCCAATGACATTTTCCTCGCACTTCGGTTGTAACTATCCCTAAACCCCATCCACAGGGTGGGGGAGGCGGGACTTGTTCTCCCTTGCCCACACGTGACTGCTGCATGAATGAACTTATGCTTCTTTGCAAAATTCATATTAGCATATGCAAATATGGCATATTGCACTCCCTGGCACATTGCACAGTGGGTACAACAGGCCTGGTTCGGTCACAAAGACACACACACAAAAGGACTTTCATAGCACGTGATGAACAAAAATAGGAGACTAATTTTGGGCAATGTGGCCTGTTCACTTCAGTACACTGGCTCAGAGACTGCTGCACTGCAGTGCCATGGTATCTCCCTGTCCACCAAAGCACACATACTGTTTAGACTAAGCATTCAAATTCAAGCTTATCCATATTTTTAAACATGCTCCCACCCAGTAACTGATAATGAAATATTTATTTTGCAGGATTTGATCCTCTCAATTCCTTTCACCTCCATGGAAAAACTCAAATACTTCAGTTCCTGGAATAGCCAACGGCATCCCAAGAATTAGTGTCAAGGCCACACTCTAGGATGGCCAAATCTTATGAAAGCAAAGAAAGAATCTGATCTCAGGCCTCTTCCCTCCCCAGGATCATGTGGGTGACTGAGACAGGGAAAAGTGAAGAAATCCTGCTAGAGTCCCCTAGATAACCTGACCTATCTCATCTTCATACCTGTTAAGGTTTGGATCTTAAATGTCCCCCAAAGTCTCGGGTGTTAAGGCCTGATCCCCAGCTGATGGTGCTGTTGAGAAGTTACAGAGGCCTTAGGGGATGGGGCCTAGCTGGAGGGAGTTAGGTCCTTGGAGAAGTGCCCTTCAAGGGGGTCTAAGATCCCGCCTCCTTCCTCTCCCCTTTTTCTCTCTCCTCCAAGCTGACAAAAGGTGAAAGCTTTGCTCCACACGTTGCTCCCCAACATGATGTTCTGCTCCACCGAAGGCCCAAAAGCAACAGAGCCAGTTAACCATGAGATGAAACCCTTTGAAAACATGAAACAAAAGAAACTTCTCCTCTTTTTAAATTGTTTATCTCAGGCATGGTGTCTCAGCAACACAAAGCTGAAAGCACAATGTCCATGATCTGGAGCGAGAATCAGAATGTCTTAATAACTTGTAGACTAGCAGGAAGCCCTGAATGAGAGAAGTTCTGTCTTAGTTATTACCAGGAGGTACAGAAGGAGCTAGATTGGGTCTCGGCAACAAGATGCATTCTTCTAGGATGTGGGGATGTCTGCTCATGAAACTGTTGACTGTCCGCAGCAATGAGGAGGGAAAGAGGGATGCTCTCGCCTGAAACAGTGTGCTGGAATCCCCAGCCAGAACAGATGGGGACTGTGAGACTTCCCTGCCCTCCGTGGTTTGGGTGCAGCTTTGAGTGAATCCCCAAAACATTCTTGTGCTAGAAGCTTGGGCCTCACTGTGGTGGTACTGAGCGCTCTTTCAGTGGTGAGGCCTAGTGGGAAGCAAGTAGGTCATGGGAGTGCTGTGACCTTGTGAAGGGATTAATGTAGGTCTCAGGAACCTGGATTAGTTCCCACAAAAATGGGTTTTTACAGAGTGCATTCAGCTGTCTTAGCTCACTGTCTTGCCATGTGACTTCTCCCTCTTACACATGCTCCCACCATGGTGGTGCTATCACAAAAAGGCCCTCATAAGAATGAAGTAGATGCCGGTATCACACTTTCACACTTCCCAGGCTGCAAGGTAAACAGTTCTTGTTTTTATAAAGTGACCAGCTCCAGTTAATCTGTTATAGTAACACAAAGTAGACTAATAAACCTTACTAGTGTCCAGAGGTCCCCAGAGAAGTGTGCATACCCTGGCATCTGATAATCTAACCCCATCCACCCCTTTTTAGAAAAAACTACTGGTTCAGTGAGGAAAACTGTGAACTGAGCTGTTAAGGTGTCCACTTACTTTCTGTGCCCTGAGAGGAAGAAGTTATGGAGTTTTTCACTTCCAATCAAACTTCCCTAGGATATAATTAGACCAATGAACAATAAGGGATGCTTTATAAAATATCAGTGATAATATTTATCCAGGTTTCTAGGCAGACCTCAAGCAGCAGACAGAATTGATCTCGGTAGGGTAGCATGCCAGGGTGAGCATCTCTCTTTTTTTAATAGAAAAAAGTAAAATTTCATAACAAAATAATAGGAGAATAACAATAGTTAATACAATGTGTATTGTTATCTTTAAAGTAGTTACTCAGAGTATAAGATATGGGCATAAAAAATTCTCCAGATGATATCAGCACAAACCTTTCTTTTCAATGAACTAAAAGAAGCTAGTAGTATAACTATCTTGTATTTCTTTTCCTTTTCCCTTTCCTTCACCCTCGTTCTTCCTTGTTTTGAACAGTTTCTTCCCATTTCACAATATCTATTCTACATCTTGGACCTTATTTATGCTTTCAGTTTCTTACAGCAAGGAGGTAATATGATGTTTCCACATGTGAGTTTGATTTATTTCACTTGTGTGTATATTCTGAAATTGCATCCATTTACCTAAAAGTCTCAGGTTTGTTCTTCTTTATGAGTGAGTAGTACTCCATTGTATAAAAAAGACCACATCTTTTTTATCCATTCATCCATTGACGGGTATTTGGGTTGTTTCCAAGATTTAGCTATTATGAATTATGTTGCTATAAACATGAAACACCTCATTTTTGACAAATGTCAGTGTATTACTCAGTTTTCCCATTGCTTAGAAAAAATACCCAACACCCACAATTGCAAAAAGAGGTTTAAGGTAACCCGCAGTTTGAAGCAGGGCCAGCTGACACCCCTGGTGGAAGAACCCGGTGCAGCAAAGCTGCTTAATCCGTGGTGCCTGGGAAGCAGAGCAGGGAACAGTGCCAGAGAAGGGGGCGGGGAGCAGGATGGACCCCCGAGGCCGCACCTTGTAACTCACTCAGGTGACTCAGAAGTGTACTTTACTGGTTTCCTGGGCAGATCCCCAAGCCAATCAGCTTGGCACAGCTGAGCTTAACCTGAAGGTCAGAGATGAGAACACAGCAGAACGAACACAGAAAAACATTCGTGATGATCTAGATTTAGACGCATGAACAAAAGTCCAGGAGAGCTGCGTTGGAGGCTGAGCTCATGCAAGTCCCCGGCAGCCGCGGCGCACGCCGGCCTTCTGCTTTCTCGGTACCCACACTCTCACTCCCACTCTTCTGCTCTTTCTCCTACTTCCTTTCCTCCTCCTCTTGCGAAATCTCCACTCTCTGAGCTATCTTTGTCTTTCCTGCTACACGGCTCTTAGAATAAGCTCCTATTTCGGGCACCAAATCCCTCCGCTTCGCACTCTCTGGGACTTTTAGAGAACTGGGCGATGTGCAAGATTCCTGGTTGGCAGCTGGTTCCACGCTCCGATGCACAGACCAGGTTTGTGCGCTGACACAGGAGTGCAGACATGTACAGGACTCCTGGCCTCAGACAACTTCTAGTCTAAGAATAAATAGGCCCCGATCACCCGCATCCAGGCAGCGGGGGGCGAGGCATGCTACAAAGGTCCAGAATGGAGAATGTGGGCGAGCAAGCAAGACGGGGAGCCGATCTGCACACCGGTAGGGCTTCCTGGCGGAAGAAGAAGGAGAAGAAGACATTGAGTGGAATCTCTGAAAACGTGCATCAGAACGCACAGCAGAAAGCGTGAAGACCTCGCTTGTGTGACCTCAAAGAGAGATGTCTTCGTAGCACTGGGGGCAAAGAGGAGTTACAGCACCTGAGCACAGCTGCAGGAGCCTGAGCTATATATGCAGCGGCTGTGTTCCCAGCTTGCGTTCTCCAGGTATTTGCCTAGAGCTGCGGCAGCCCCAGGGCATCTGCACGGGACTCCAGCCAGCCTGCCCTTCCATGCTGACTCATGAGGAAAGAGAAGCAAGACGGGGCAGAGGAGACAAGAGAGAGTAACTAAATAATTTCTTCTAGAATCTGGCCTTAGCTGGTTCCTCTCTATGCCTCAGTTTCCTCATCTGTGAAACGAGAATGCTGTTCTTGCCCGGGTCTGACAGGCTTGCACCTCTCCTTTCCTTTCCTTCTCTCCTTCAGAGTTTCCCTCCTTTCCAGTAAGAGAGGATTTCTTCTTCCCAGTCCCTGGAAGCAGCTCGTAAATTCTCAATAACCTTGGCTCTCCCTCTCCCCCGCCTCCTGCTCCTACCCTTGGCACAGTGGGCTTCCTTTCTTTTCCAAAACTTTGCCTTCTCTCTCCCCTGCCCGGGCTTTCCGGCGGAAGCAGCCCGACAGGCTTGTTTGCAGGCCGCTGGGACCTGGGGACAGTTTTTGCGGTTTTCCTCCTTCTTCTTGGCGGCTTTGCAGCCCCTCTTCTCCACAGAGACAGGAAGTGGAGCTCCAGCTGCTTGCTCAGCGCGGGGGAGAGGAGAGCCCTCAAATATCTCAGTGGTTGGATTAAAACACAAGTATCTCCAGCTTCGCTTGCAAAAGGAAATTCAGAATCGCCAAGTGCTGGCGGAGCTGTGTTTTATCAAGCTACCACATTTTTTTTGTTTTGTTTTGTTTTTAATCACTGGTTTAAGACTCCAGTGAAGCGTTCACCCCACTGCTTCCAAGAGAGAAGCAAGTGTCCCTCCAGCCAAGCCCAGGGAACAGGGTCGGACACAGTTGATGAATGAGAGGATGAATGATTCTGTTGCATATGGTGTCCCCGCTTTTAGAACCACTGCCAGAGAAACGGGCTTTTTAAAGATACTCTCCATCTGGAAAAGGAAAGTAATGCGATGCACGTAAATGCATTTCCTTTTGGGTCTTGTGCTGGAAGCTTCCTCCCTGCCTCCTGCTCTTGAAGTGGCTCTCAGCAGAACCCTACCCCAACAGGCTTGTTTAAACCTCTCTCTAAAGAGCAGATTCCGCCTAAGTAACACAGGTCTGGGAAGCACTGGGCTTTGTTCTGCAGTTTTTTGCCTTCACTCTCTGCTCTGCTGCTCCTGACCCCATCTTCCATCACCCTGAGAAGCAACCGCCAGTCAGAACACCCACCTCCCAACCCAAAAGCACATCCCTCTCTGCAAAGGGTTCACTTTTTAAATGAACATGATCAGTTGATCCGTTCTGATCCTCTGTGTTAATCTAGAGCTCTCCCTGCGTGAAATTCCTTCAGCACTTGGGCCCTGTAGCACTCACTCAGCACTTAATAAATGCTGCGTTTCATTACTGTAATCCTGTTAATGCATCTGTCCAACCTCCCCAACCAGTTACGTGTTCCTCAGACGTGTGGACTGCGTCTGGAGCCCAGGCACCTGTTTTCATGTTGGATTTATTGTCAGTGACTCCTTCTTTTTTTATTTTGGTTGATCACACAAGTAAAACACACTCACAGTAGGTTTACATGCTTATTAGCAGTGGAAATCAGCAGAGAAAAAAATGCACAGTCTGCAAAACAATTAAAGAAATGCATCTTTTAAAGGAAGATACCTTTATGGGTGTATTATGATTATAGGAAAACAGATATGTTTATATAGCAAGGCAGTGGAAGGGTGCTATCACTGAGTTCAGGACCTTTGGAACCCCACCTAGCAAAGGGTGACAGGAAGTTCTCTGGGATGTGGGTGTTCACCACCTAACATCTCGACATCTAGACCATAGCTCCTCCATTCCCTGGTCCCCCACTGTTATTCTAGCCCTTCCCTTGGCCTATGCTCCCTGGCCTTCCGTACTGTGGGTCCCCCTCTGCTTGTGCCTGAGTGCATCGCCCTTCTTCAGTCTGCTCTAGTGAGTTCCCCCTGAGCCAGTCTGGGCTGATCTGTCCTCCAAGTGTTCTCCTCAGCATCACGCCAAGCCCTCCTCTTGTCCAGGCTCTTGTTTCTCCCATCAGAGACTGACACCAAGCCCTCCAGGCCAGAACCAGTCAGGAGGCATCACCACAGGTCAGCACCCAATGTCCAAGCTGTGGCAACCATCCTTCCTGGGCAAGAGCCTGCAGAGCAAAACCCAGCGGCAGAGACTCTGAGACCGCCGGGGAGGGTCCCCAGGGCCAAAGACACAGCCAGTGTGTGATATGTACCTGTACTGTGGGGACCGAGGCGGGCAGCCCTGGGGACCAGGAAGGGAGTGGACTTGAGAAGCAGAAAGACTCAAGCCCAATATATTTAATTAAAATTAACTTCCTGATAACCAAAGTATGCATGCTTGTTATAATGAAATTAGAAAGTCGATACAAACAAGTACACCCACATCTAAGTCACACCACTCATTGGTTACCTCTGTTACTATACTGACGTGGAGTCTCCAAGGGGCATGTCGGGTGACATGTAACACCAGTCTGCAGACTGCTGGACTCACGAGGGTACAGCCGAGCAACAGCTTTTCTCTCATCTACTACCTTCAACTCCACCCTGCTAAATCTCTTTCCTTCATCCTTCAAGCAAAACATGCCATAGTCCACAGCCTTCTGATTGCTTTTAAATGTTAACAAGCACTCTCATTGTTATGGTTTGTGTTTGGATGTTCCCCAAAGCGTCATGCAGTCATGGGGTGGGCTTCTAGAGTTTGTGATTGATTCCTGGTGCAATGCTGGGATTATGGGTGTGAGTGTTACACCCACCCTGAGGCGGGTAGTTTGCATACAGCGTAAGGGAGGGAAAGCGGCTTGTTCTTGCTGCTCCTCCCTTTTTGCTCTTGTTGCTTTTGCTGTCTTCCACTGCCATTCTGCCATGTGCCACCCTGCGTTGCAGCCAGCTGACTATAGACTGAAACCTTCACAAACGGTAAGCTAAATAAACCTTTCCTTCCCGAATTTTGGGTGTCTGATATTTTTTTTCTCAGCAATGAGAGAAATGTAACCAAGACAGAATTTGATATCAGAGAAGTGGAGCTGTTGCTGTGACTACACCTGACCATGTGGTACAGGAGCCTTTGGGAAAGGCTTGTGGGAAGAGTTTGGAAAGGTTTGGAGATGTTACCTGAAAGAGTAGTGCTGGAACACCTTAGGCTGTTCTGTGTGGGAGATTCTGCTTAGAGCTCAAAAGACCAGAAGGCTGATAGAAATCTTGCTGGTAAAGACCAGGCTTAGGACATTTCTGCTGGGAAGGGACTGTATTGGCTCCTGGACTCCAGATGATGTGTGTTACGGCTTGGCAAAAAGTTTGTCTGCATTTTGCTCATGTCCAGAGACTTTGCATGAAAATGATATTAAGGGTAGTAAACTAACTAATCTGGCAGAAGAAATTTCAAGACAGTCAAATGTCGAGGCTGTGACATGGCTACTGTTGGGGGTTTTTAGCCAGATTTATATTGAGAATCAAGAGCAAAGGGCCCAGCAGGATGACTTAAAATGTGAATTTAGCCAGATAGGAACCTCCAGTAAAGCTGTGGACTGCAAACATAGAACTGAGGAGATGATTGCTAAGAAGGACTAGGAGAATATAAAAGATGGTCTGAGGGCATCATGAGAAGCAGCTAGTCTCCACCCTTTGCAGCCTCAAAACTTCAAAAATGAAAGAGTTTGTTTTTTTTTTTTTTGAGACAGGGTTTTGCTATGCAATTCAGGCTGGCTTTGAGCTCACTTTGTAGCCCAAGCTGGCCTTGAACTTACAACAATCTTCCTATCTCAGCTCTCAAGTACCAGGTTACAGGCATGCACCACCAGCCCTGGCAAAAACATGTACTCTCTTTTTTTGCCAGGGAGGTGGGGGGATCAGGAATTGAACTCAGGACCTTGTGCTTTCCAGGCAGAAGCTGTGAAAGACTTTGCTTTGAGAAGAAAGCTGAAGAGTGCCATGTTCTGGAATGGCTGCAATAGCCATACCAGTTTCCAGAATGGTGGCAGCATTGAGAATTTGTTCCTCAGAATTGGATTCAGAGTGTCCAGTGATCCAGTCACTTGATCCCTACAGTTAAGAGAGAAGAAAGCCTGGCTACTGCTCCAGCCGGCAGCAGACACTGGCATCATCCATGTAGTGCTGGTTTTAGGCACATGAAGAATGCAAGAGTTCTGAGGTTAAGAAGGCTTCCACCTAGATTTCAGAAGTCCTGGGAGGCCAGGCAGTGTGCCCCTGAGAGGGCAGTGTGGGAAGCTGTGAGTGTGAAACCAAAGGTGCAGTGGAGAACTCAGAAGTTTGGAAAAGCCAGGAATGTGGATCATCTAAGGAAAGCTGCAAGGAGGGAGCAGAGTGGGCCTAAGAGAGAAGCTATGGGAGCTACAACAACCAGAAGTGCCATAGAGGCAGAGCCACATGGAGCTCACAATTTGCCACAGATTGTCTTGGGTGTTGCACATGGAACTACAGGACTTAATGTTTGGACTTGCTTTGGTCCCAATGTTTCGTAGCCCCTGTTTGTGTCTTTTGGAATAGTAATGTTTATCTTGTGCCATTGAATCTTGGAAGGGTTTAACTTTTCATTTGTGCAGGGGCTCACTGCTAAGAGTTTGCCTTAAATCTTGGAGAAGACTTGGACTTTTCAGCAATGCTGAAACTATTAGGACTTGGGCAACTCTTAGAGATGGACTACAATGCCTTTTGCATAAAGGGATGTGCACGACTCTTCAGGGGGCCAGGGGCAGAATGTTATGTTTTGTGTCTTGATGTCCCCCAAAGCCTCATGCAGTCATGGGGCGGGCTTCTAGAGTTTGTGATTGATTCCTGGTCCAATGCTGGGATTATAGTTGTGAGCCCTACACTCACCCTGGGGTGGGTAGTTTGTGTACAATGTAAGGGAGGGAAAGAGGCTTGCTCTCTGCTGCTCCTCCCTTTTTGCTCTTGTTGCTTTTGCTGTCTTCCACCGCCATGAACTGCTGCCCTCTGCCTGTGCCACTCTGTCTTGGAGCTTGCTGAGTAGGGACTGAAACCTCCACAAACTGTGAGCTAAATAAACCTTTCCCTCTTTAATTTGGGTGTCATGTATTTTGTCTCAGCAAGGAGAGAACAGTAACCAAGACACTCATCTTTAGGAATTTCAAATGCAAGTCTCATCTAAATTTTCAAACTTCTACTTCTCAGTCACAGCTTTTCTCATTCCCCCAACTCAAGCCTTGCTGGGCAGGGGACTTGCAGGGGCAGCAGAAAAATCAACCCCCTATTATGCCTTCCCCTCCAACATCTAGGAATTTCAGTCCATGGTCACTTGGCCCCTTTGTCTCTGGGCCCAGGATGTGAGGCAGAATATCAGGAGGAAGGGTGAAGTGGAGGAACACTGCTCCTCCCACAACAGGCAGAAAGCAGACAGGACCACAGAGCCTAAGAGGTAGAGGCTGCTCATGAGATAGGGCCCCAATGACATACCTTCTTGACTCAGTCCCATGGACCAGACCCCACCTCCCAATAGCCTATGCAGCTGTTAACTCATCCATAGTTTCATTCTGTGATGAGGTCAGTATTCTCACCCCATCACTCCCAGAAGCCCAACCTCTGAATGCTGCTGCCCTGGGGACCAAGCTGTTACTGCATTCAATGAGCATTTTGGGAGGCATTTTAGATCCAAACCAGAGCAGCTAGTTTCCTTGAATTTTGATAAATGGTGTAGGTTTAGCTAATATCTCTTTTTAGAAAATGTGAGCACTTTACAACCCTTTCTTTCAGCTTGAAACACAACATTTAGTATCACATTATGTGCATGTATTTACCCCATTACATATTGTGTAAATTAACTTTCTCTAGGCAACACAGTGGTAATAAAACCCAGTATCTCTGTGGCTTACAAAGCTTTCTTCTTTACCTTATATGATATCAGACTGCTTTAGGTGGCTTTCTGTAATAGGATCCAAGTTGGAGAATCAGCATCTATCCAATCAGATGTCCATTTTTGGATTGTGTCTTTAAATTTGGAGGGTCTGATATTTTTGAGTTCTTTATATATTCTAGATAGTCATAGTTTGTCTGAGAAACAGCAGACAAAAATTCTTTCCCACAATGTGACTTGTCTCTTCACTCGGTTGGTGGTTTCTCTTGCTGTGCAAAAGCTTTTTGGTAAAATGAAATCCCAGTTCTTGGTTCTTTGTGATAGTTCCTGTGCAATCATGGATTTGTTCATAAAGTCTTTGCCCTACACCAGTGTCTTCAAGAGTTCTACCTCTTCTCTCTTCCAACAGATTTAGTGTTTCTCTTTTTAATATTTAGATCTTTGAGCCATTTCAATTTTAGTTTAGTGCATGATGAAAAATATGGGTATAATTTAAATTTTGGTATGTGGAAAGCCAGTTTTTCCAGCACCATTTATTAAAGAGGCTTTCTTACAGTGTTTATTTTTTTATTTATTTGGTTTTTCTCTGGTACCGGGAACTGAACTCACGACCTTGCGCTTGCCAGGCAGGCGCTTTTGCCGCTGAGCTAAATCCCCAGCCCCAGGCTTTCTTACAGTGAATGTGTTTGATAACCTTTGTCAAAGATAAGGTGGCTGAGTATGTCTGAAGTTGTTTCTGCCTCTTCTAATCTGCT